ATCCATCATCCATCCATCATCCATCCATCCATCATCCATCCATCATCCATCCATCCATCCATCCATCATCCATCCATCCATCCATCCATCCATCCATCCATCATCCATCCATCCATCCATCATCCATCCATCTGTCCCTCCACCCTCCTGGGAGCAGAGGAATTGTGCAGGAATTCTCTCCACTCTGGAAGGGGTGGTGATTTTTTGGGGCTGCTGTCTCATTCCCAACAGCAGCTCCAACCACCCACCTCATGCATCCCTCTGCTGGGAATTCCTCCCAGAGCAGGGAATGCTCCCCGGGACCTTCTGCCTGTGGGAAGGAGAGAGTTCTGGTGGAAAAAGAGCAAATTTGGGGGAGCTGGTTCAGTGGTGGTGGTGCAGCAGGGCAGGGGAGCTCAGTCTGGAGCTGGGATGGGCTGGGATCGACACCAAATGTGGGATCACTGATGGTCCCTGGCAGGGCAGGGGAGCAGGGAGCTCCCCCAAAGCCGCCCTGCTCCTGCTGTGCTCCGGGCCGTTCCCAGCTCCCCAAACCTCTCTCTGTGCTCCGGGCCGTTCCTCCGGGCCGTTCCCAGCTCCCCAAACCTCTCTCTGTGCTCCGGGCCGTTCCTCCGGGCCGTCCCCAGCTCCCCAAACCTCTCTCTGTGCTCCGGGCCGTTCCTCCGGGCCGTTCCCAGCTCCCCAAACCTCTCTGGGTGCGTTTTCCTTGACCCCCCACTCCAGAATGCCCCTCGTCCAGCGGCAAGCCCAACCACGCAGACATCCTGCTCGTAAACCTACAGTACGTGTCAGAAGTGGAAATAATCAACGACCGCACGGAAACGCCTCCCCCGTTAGCCTCCCTCAACGTCAGCAAGGTGAGAGAGCCCCTCCAGCAGGGATCCCCCCTAGGAATCCTGCAGGGATCCCTCAAATCCAGCAGGGACCCCCCCCGAAATCCAGCAGGTATCCCCCCGAAATCCAGCAGGGATCCCCCCCAGGAATCCTGCAGGGATCCCCCCCAGGATTCCTGCAGAGATCCCCCCAAATCCTGCAGGGATCCCTCCAAATCCTGCAGGGATCCCCCCCAGGAATCCTGCAGGGATCCCCCAAATCCTGCAGGGATCCCCCCCAGAATCTTTCACGGATCCCCCCAGGACTCCTGCAGGGATCCCCCCCAGGAATCCTGCAGGGATCCCCCAAATCCTTCAGGGATCCCCCCAAATCCTGCAGGGATCCAGCAGGATTTGCCACTGGAGCAGCTTCCCAGCGTTCCCTCCTGGGGCTGGGGTTTGGTGATCTGGGGCTGGATTTCACCAGTTTGGCATCTGAATTTTGGCAGTCAGAGGCCTGGATTTGGTTTGGTTTAGGGTCCGGGCATTTGGCATTTGGGGTCTGGTTTTTGGGTGGTTTTGGAGCCCAGATTTTATGTCTCAATTTTTGGCATTTGGGGACTTGGATTTTGGTGTTTTTGGGGTCTAAGGTGATGTTTTGGGGCTTGCATTTTGAGGGGTTTGGAGCCTGGGTTTTGGTAGTCTGGTGGTGGTGTTTGGGGTCTGGATGATGCTGGTTTGGGTGTAGATTTTGGCATTTTGGGTAAAGCTGAACTCACAAAGGGGAGCTCACGGAATGCTGAGGAATGGCTTTTCATCCATCCTGGGACGGGATCACTGCTGGTTCCCAGGGAAGTGGAAGGATGGGAAGGGGACCCCGAGCCCTCGGTGCTGGGATGGATCCGGGGGGGACAGGGTGCTCAGCTGGCACCCACAGGGATTCCTCAGTGTGGGGAGCCCCCCGGAATTCCAGTGTGGGGAGCCCCTCAGGAATTCCAGTGTGGGGAGCCCCTCAGGAATTCCAGTGCTCACTTTGGGAGCCCCCCAGGAATTCCAGAGCTCACTTTGGGAGCCCCTCAGGAATTCCAGTGCTCACTTTGGGAGCCCCTCAGGAATTCCAGAGCTCACTTTGGGAGCCCCTCAGGATTTCCAGTGCTCACTCTGGGAGCCCCTCAAGAATTCAGAGCTCACTTTGGGAGCCCCCCAGGAATTCCAGAGCTCACTCTGGGAGCCCCCCAGGAATTCCAGCTCTCACTTTGGGAGCCCCCCAGGAATTCCAGTGCCCCCGTGGTTTGGTGTGTGGGGAACGAGGCTGCGGTGGGCTTGGCAGTTCCAGTGGCAGGGG